GGATCTTAGACAAACAAGAAGAATTCGTTTCAAGCGTGTGTTCAGAATGCTTGATGGTTGGTTTCACTGGCATTGTCCTACGATCGATATGTAGATTCGAGTGAAATGGCGCTTCATCACAACGACCCTTTTGTCATTTTAATCTCACAAATGGGGTTTTCGACTAGATCTAGAACAGTTCCTGGCGTATCGACCTTTCAGTATGCTGAGGAATGTTCTCCTGCGACCGGAAAAGGGCAACAAAATTAATCTACAAACTCCGCTATGTCCCTCATATTTCTGAGGGTTTGCATTGATCTTCCCGACTCATATTTCATTCAAATCCAGTGCGAATTGGCCAACCAAGATGGATGGGCATATCGCAGCACATGTGAAGAGATAGCTGTGGCATCTAATCAATATTTGAGCGGTAATGAAATCTGAGTTCCCACTGGGGCGTTACTAGTAAGTGATAATCAAATTCGGCACGAACTTCTCGATGAAGTGCCTTTGCAAAAAGAAGACTCCATGAGCCAATCACTTTGCGTATCCCGGCTAATGTTATCATAATGTGATGGTTCGCATACAAGAGGGAAGGCCGCGGTTGAAACACTGACCGATTTAACCCAAGCTGTAGCTGTAGAAGCCCACAAGTTCAATAGAAAGTGGGTGTGGTGGTGTGATGTTAACTGAAAGTACTGTGACTACTGGTAATAGACGATTTCGCAAAATATTTATAATCTACCGATCATGCCAGCGTACTTTGATGTAGAATGTAGATGAATGTCGCTCCAGAATAACCAAGCAGCCAAAAGGCAAGTAACTGATGGAAGAATGAAAGGCCTTTTAAGCTCATCTGGAAGGTAAATTCATGGGAGTATCCATGGTGTTCCCTGTGACTACTAGCACTACTAACCTATATGCCCTCGAATGGTGAATAGCTAACCGTTGCTACAGTACCCGTCAGCCTAAAACTTAAAAAAAATCGATCCAGTTGCTTTTCAGGTCAGAGATTAATCAAATGGGCTTCCGAAGTCTTCGCCCACTTGATGAGAATCGAACAGTGTGAAACCAATCATGAGGTATCTTCGGATTTTAGCGATATGCCCATACAACTTATTTCGGCTGAAGAATATTTTTCATAATATTTGCGAACCCATTTGTGAAAAATATCCAGCAATGTGTCGTCTGCTTTCGATCCTAATTATCAGCATTTTGAAACGGCAAATCTACTTACTGTTTCATCCACCCCAAAAAGGTGCTTGTCATCTATCGGATAAACGTTTTCCTTTACTGCATTTCGCAGTCTACATTAGACTGTTTACCAACCACTCTGGCACCGAATTGGATATGACTTTATGCTGAATTAGTTAAGTTGTGTTTGAGGATTTCCGTAGTTACGACTAACAGTAGAGTTTCTATTGCATCTATACTAGGTGTAACACTACCAAGTGTATGCAAATCATTAAGTCGTGCTTCTTATCTGATTTTTTAGGCACGACATGAGGTCTTGATGACTTGGCGACAATTCTCTTGACCAGGAGGAAGGCATCCTTTATCCAGCTCAGTCAAAGAGTCGCTGAAATAACAGATGTAAATATTCCAGATAGTCATTGTGAATTTCGGTACCTCCAGAGCATAACTTGCTGAGCTAATGCCCTAAGACGAGTATAAAGAGAACGCTACGAATGAGTCGAACGCTCAGCGTCATTTTTTCGGACTGCGTCCAAGCTTGACGCTCACTTACGGAAATTTTGTTAGCCCTGTTTCGAACCTTCAAAATGTCACCTGGGTGCTCGAAGTCCATACGGAAGTGGAGCGAGACTGTGTCCTCTGCTGACCTGCATGCAGCTAAAAGCCCTGAATTCATATTACAGCCGTCCACACAATGTTACTATAGTTAGTAACCACTTGGATTGCAGTTTATTTATTTTTGAAATGTTTCTTAGACAAACCTTCTGCTGCATTACCACCATATCCGCATGCTCCAGTCTTCGAGCGATTACAACTTATATGCATGTTATGAAGCCCATTAGCAGGGGCGTATATACAATCTGTGATTCACGGCCATCTCCCCTTTTTCTTGGGCGAGACGGCCCAAATGGTAAGAGTGCGAATTTACTGACCGGAAGGTCCGCGTCGTCCGGTCCGCCTGTCGACTTCCCCTGGCTAGGCTTGAGCAACCTGGCAGTATCTTAGCCCTCGTGCTTACTTAGGGTAGCATGGCAGTTAGGCACCTGAAGGATGCTACAGCTGAACACTATTTTCTACTTTTTCTTGGGAAGTTGTCTTTTAGCAGCCGGAACCAAACCTCAACTTAATGCAAGAAGCATCTAACTGTATTCTTGTGGAGCAGGCTGCTTGCGAACTTATTCCACCATGCGCTAAACTTAAAGCCTGACAACAAGCAGTCCGCAGGAATCCCCGATGAGAGCAAAATATTCGCCTATCTTGAAAAACGGAGTATAGCAAACATCAGTTGTGCACAGATCCTTAGATTGGAGTGCATTAGCATGGTTTGTTTACTTCGCTGTTGGACGGCAGCAAAACCTCCTGAAGTGGCATTTCGTAAAACAGGCTCAGATTTCTTCGGATTAAATGACACATAGAATTGAAAATACAGGAGTTTTTCAGAAAACAAGAAGTTTTGGACGAGGACGCAGGTGCATTCAGGTACAGAACTAGATTCGCTGGTTATGCCAATTGAGGTGTCTGACTGACTCGTATATAACACTTACTTGTGTTCAGCTGACGAACAGAGCTCAACATCAGGTTGGCAGAAATTTCGCCACTGAGGCTGCCCTAAAGTAAAACTACATAGCGGTAAGCTTCATGTTAGGTGCGAGGATTGGGTGTTCTGCGCCGAGAACAAACATGCTGCTGTTTATGTCGGCATGGGAAGCATTGAGATATGGCGCCTCTCAGTGCTGTATTCTCTGTCCAGAGTAACCACGGCCATTTGAACTTGCATGAGATTCGTGTGTGCAGACATCATTTTGATTAGGCTTGTTGACAACCAACGTAGAGACACCAGTTACAACTTCGTTAAGTTTGCTCCTGCACTTGTTTGTGCCTATTTCGCACATCGCCATCCTGAAGACGACGTTACCATTAATCACATGGTTTGGTTAGTCAGGTGGCCCACTGCGGCCTTAACAATGCTTCTGACTGTGACACTAAGAGGGCAAGTGCAGGACAATAGTAAAGGTGGGGCAGCATGACGCTGAGAGTTAAAGGGATCGATGAATCCCTCCACTATCTGAATCAGAAACAGAAAACTGGTGACCTGAACAGCTGACTCCCACCATTTTCGGAACGAATGACGGCATGCCTCCATATGGGCTGCCGGGCTCAATTATGGGATCTAAATCGGCGTCGAAAGTTGAGCAAATCAAGCCATCCTACAGCCCACTGCGCCTACCAACTGCATGTACGTGACTACTGACGCAGTCGCATTTGATCGGCCAGTTAGTTTATGGTAATCTTCAGGCACTGAAGTGACTCAAACCCTCAGATATTGATGTCACTATTCAAAATCGGCTAATAATGACTGTGGTTATCGCCTTTTTCATGACTACTTTCTGTTGATTCAGAAACTGCCAATCAAGATGCAATGCAGCACATATTTTTGGCTAGCTGCTTGCTACTTCAAAAACACGCTCAGTTTGATTGTTGAATGTCTCACGCTTCTAACGATCCCCACCACTACATGGGACAACCATGTCTATACCGGTTCATTAAATAGGGCGTCTACAACCTTAGCTTTCAATACCACTGAGGAAGTGGAGCCATAACGGCCAGCAAAGGACTAGTGCCACAGATGTCGGTGAAAGTGACCTGGGTAAAGATTAGACCCGCGCGACTTGTTATCCAAGAAGCTCGCCGCAGGCTAGGCTGGTGAGAAAGCACCTGGGTCACGGTTGCCATGCTGTCACACAGACTAGCCCATGTGAGGAAGACAGAGAGAAACTGGAAACATAGATAAGGGTATCCAGAGGTTAACAAGAATGAATAAATTATAAAACAATCGTCAACGGGTAAAAGGGCGTGAAAGTTCGCTGAGGAAAATTCCGGGGCTTCATTTGGAACTCAGGTGAGTCACCTATGAATTGGTGTATAAATGAACGTACTTCCCGAACAGTTGAATTAATTTTGATTGAGTTGCCAACGCGTTCGGAGAATTTCACCCCCAGACAAACACAGCACCAGCTGATTAATTTGATGCGAAATCTGTTCGAAAGACAATTGATTAAAATTACATTCTTTGTAAGAAATTTTTTCTCGTCTTGTCCAACCCGGACGCTATGCTGTTTCTCTAGGATGTACCACTACGTATCGAAAATAATATGCAATAGTGATGAATTGTCGACACACTGGAATGATTTACAGGTTTTGAAACTTTATTTACAGTTCTGGCAACAGTTTCATTACCATGGTATGTGTGATTTGGAACTCATAGGGGAGGAAAAATTCAGGAATTACTATCAACTTCACGGTCGTTTGTGTGCACGTCCTTTTACAGCAGGCATATAAAATGCAATAAACACGGCTCCTTCACTCATGAAGTTTCTGATTAAGACAGCTTGTTTATCGCACCAAACTTAAGGCCTCTAGCTACTTCAATTAGGTCTCAGTGTCCTCAGTATCTTCAGATGATAGGAGAATAAATACAGTCCAGTCTCTTGCTCAATCTGTCCGTATTATCTGGATTGCCACAATTCTCAATCAATAATCCTAAGTTTAGGAGGAAACTATCCGCAAAACGCCGGTACAAGACACTGCAATTCGTTAAAAATCCGCCGGTGACAGTGTATGATGATGTAAAAAAAACCCTTATACTTTTAGAAACTTTGTGTGTTCCTGCATGCTGGTGTCTATCAAACAGCACATGTTACCTAGTGCATGTGCGTTTTAAAACGCAAAAATCAGTCGATGTAATTTCAGTCGGATTTGTTGACTGGTTTGCCGCATCCGCTGTAGAAGGATCTGTTTACAGCCAGGAATAAGTGCATATAAACCTTCAGTAGGGTACATGGAGCTATGTGTCTGGGCGTCCTTTTTCTCAGTTGTTTCGAATCTGAACAGCCCAAATCAGAGTCCAAATCTATGTCTGACGGGAGGATATTAAAAATTTCTTACTTGGTGGCACTCATAATAGCTGCCGTATTGGGTATAGTTGCCCTCTCACTGAATAAGAGCTTTGGAAGTAAGTTGTTGAAGTGTGATCTGGTAATTATTGGCAATAATTCGTGTGTGCAGTGATGATCCACTCGTAATCTATAACTGTCTCGCTCTCAAAATCAAGCGTACTTTGCATTGTCATTTGATGTTTTTGGGATTTTCATCCAGTAACAAGGCAATGTGAATCTGGCAGCTCGCTGATGGATTGGTTTACAGTCTGGGTTTGAACTTGTATTTATCGGCATAAGCGTTTCCAGAACGCTAAAAACAGCCATTTTTCTCATTTATTACTGTAATAAATTTCCTTTTAGAGTGACAGGCAACAGCTATCATTCATACAGAATTAGACCTTTGACATTCAGGCAAATTTTTTGGGAATGAGGTTTTTTAACATCTACTTTTTTATTGTCTTCACAAGAATATAGTCTGTAAATCGCGACGTGTCCTATTTTTATGCCTAAGTTACACAGTGAAATTCACTGCAATGTCTGTAGATGTGCGGCTGTAGCAAATCGGGTATTCGAGGTGTGAGCCTGGGTGAACCAGTTAGCAACGCGTCACCACAATTAAAGGGTGTACATGTAGTTTATCGCCGCAAAATTATATATATACATGTATATATAATATATGGGACGATTTATTTCGTGCTAGGCGAAGAGACGACATAAATAAGCTTGTTTTTTCGGAGCTGAAAACTTACTAGTTCCCTAAGGCTTCGTGTTACGAAGAAGTTCCCGCTGGGGCAAGCACCCTTTATACCCTCCAGGAATTCATCATAATATGTCCAGTTAACAGACCATGAAACTTTTATTTGTCTGCCTGTATTTGAAAGGGTATTTATTCCGCCTTATGAGGTTACACACTAAATATGTGATTACCCTCAACGCTAAAGCCATTTATCTAATAGCTTAAATCTTCACTGGGTAGACGCTACACCAATGCTCTGTGAATCAATCAACCTTTGTTGGTCTGTTTAGTAAACTGGTATAAGTGTTCCCAGTAGTTTGATAACTAGCCTCCTTTGTTGCCTCAGTCTATGAAGTCCAGACACATTGTATCTCACCTTGACAGGTAATGCTGGTCGACAGCTACATATAGTCGACCAGAGAACAGTAGTGTTAGCTGTATGTGTCAGTTGACTCTTCGTGTGATCCGGACCAAAGTTGATCCCAACACCATGGAAATGTTTGAGCGCTGCTTTTAAAGTAATTAGGAATTTTGCAAACCAAAGGTTAAAAGCATAATTTGATAGTCTCAGCGCTTCTGCCACTACAGGCGCACACTGTCATGGTTTTGCATAACCAGCGGATGCAAAGAAATAAGACATCAAAACGAGTCAGCCGTCGTAGCAGTAAGTAAGGATGCCAAAGTGTTCCTGCATCTGTCTGTGTGAGTCTCTTTGCGTAGTAGTTATCTTGGATGATAGTCTGTGGCAGATATAAAGGTGGGTGATTGAATGGGAGCTGTCCAGTGTCATTACAGTTTAATTAATTGGGTGTTCCTATGGGCCAGCAAAAGCTACGCGTGGACAAGGGACCGCCCCGTCAAAACCCGAGTGCGGATCGCAGGAGGTAGTCTGATTACCATAGTCTGAATGCTTGCACATGAGTTCCCTCCAGCACCCACTATGCGTAATTCAGTGTTGAAGTTAGAGTGACTTGAACGTAGCACGAATCAATGTTGGTCCCATTTATTAATATTGTTGGGACCATGCTGAAAATGTCAGCTAACCGATGTACTAGGCGTCGTACAGACTGACTAACCTAGAAGAAATTGTCTTTCAAACAGCCAACAATAAATAGCACAAGAAGTTTGACATCAGTCTAACTGTACTTGTGTTTTTAGTCGCTGCGCCGTCATTCAAGTGGGGACATGATTAGTAATTTTGTCGCATGCAATGCCTTCTTCCAGAATAGATCGGTCATTTAAATCAACGCCTTTTGGACAAATGCTGATCACACAGATCTGATCTGTACTGCTTCGACGAAATATAGTTGGAGAATACAGAATTTATTCTGGATTGTGTGTCGACATTACCTTGCGCTCTTGATTGTTATGGTTGGTTTGGTTCCGCTCAAAATAAAGGATGTGTAGTAAAATGAGCTGGTGGGTCACGTCTCGTTTAGCTGAAGTGTACAACTTATTTTGCCAACATTAAGCATCGATTGACTGTGGTATTACGATTTCCCATATCGCCAAAGTTTCCATTAAAATTTCTTTGCTTGATCTGCTTGAGTACTGATGTCATTCTAATGAACAAAACGGCTTTATCGCCCCTTCATTGCATATACGGCTTGCAATGCAGTTTGACCTGTACTTAAGTTACTTCCAAAGTATGTCTCACAGGTTGGTGGATCCGATGAAAAGAGCGAAAGAGTTTAAGACTGTGGAAGATGTTACAATATAGCACCCAATCTCATACGCTTGCAAGACAGAAGCTATCAAGATCAAACCAAAACTAGGTGGAAATTAGAACGACAGGCCAGTTTCTTCATTTGCTATGTCTTTCATGCCATCTTAAAATACTGGACTCCCATAAAATGGACACGTATTTTCGAGTGAATGGTAAATGATCCAATCCATCAGTAGCACCACACGAATTGTGAGGACAGAATTCACTGCACAGGGTATCAGGCCGGATATTCCATTTGAACGGCTTAAAGCTAAAGGTACGAAAAATGGAACAAATTCCACCCTTGAGACTTCACATAGGGGCCCAATAGCTTCTACGTGACTGTTACAGCCGTGGATACATTTCAGCACAATGGTCACACTGATCCTGTGTGTCACCCCATTCCCAATCAGGCTTCTCCATATATGTAGAAGTCTTGGAAAAAAGCACGCGCAATATCGGCCCCAGTGATGGAACCAAATGTCCTTCCTTTCGGATTGGTGCGATCACGCAACTAAGAACAATGACGCTTAAGATGGACAGATCCAACAGGTAATCACACATCTGGCCTCAGGGAAAGGTTTCCATCCCAAGTTTGTCCATCAGTCGCCACTGTTGGCCAGCCAGACTAACAGATATCCAGACACCCACGTACAGACATCACACAGACTCGATCACACACACCAAGCCACGGTCGTATAAATCTCAATACACGATGACTGGCACTTTGTGAAAAGCTTTGAGTCTCTAGTGAAAAACAAATTGATTTGCAAATGAATGTATTTCTTCTAAACCGCTAAATTTGGATTCAGGTAGAACACAGGGTTGACGGAAACTCGGAGACTGATGAGCCCCAAGAAAGGTGAAACCGGTCGTGGGCTGTCGAAGGGTTCTCAGCAACCTAGTGAGCAGTTTCCTTCATGAAAGCTTTGATAAAAGTTATCTACGGTGGCTATAACGTTGAGACAACTACTCCACATCACATGGTGATCCGCTTCGATTGATATACTCTCAACTATCCGTGTTTCTTCTCTAGTTAGAAGATATGTTTTAGCGAGATCACATACAGAATACACTCACTCGCTCAAATCATTTCAGCAGCAAGTAATTACACTCACTTTATACGGTGTCAAAGAAGTAACTCGTGTCGAACGAGAGAAAAATTCTTTTGGGTCACAAGGTGGATGTGTTCTCCAAAGGTGGGTCAGATAATTTCAACGGGGTTTGTAGATTGACACGTTTTTAGCGGTTGGTGTCATTACCAGGCATCTGATGTTGACAAAACGACTGGCACAATATTTGTACTTACCAGACTGACCAACCAAGGTTTTGTCCCAAAGGAAGCTAGCGCTTCAAGAACATTTCAGAGAATTATCACAGAAGACTGGATTTTCAAAAGTTCATCAGTAGTTATGGTTGAGCTTAAGTAGTATTTTATCGGTATTTTATTCCGCTCTGTTCCTGTTTGGGTAAAAAGCGTTATTTGTACTCAACATGAGGAGGAAAATGACGATTTGATAACCGATTACGTGCACCAATAATATGGGTGCAACTACGTTTCCTCCACAAATTTCGAGTAAAATGCGAATCCAGAGCGACTCTCAAATCACTAGACAATGCTACTTCCCTATTTTAAAGGAACAATCGTCCCCAAGGATGCAGTCTAAAATACGCACAGTTTTGTTTTCGTGAAGGATCCGATAATGATCCAAATTTATTGCTTCACGAAGAGCTGCTTTCCAATTTTGTGGATGCATCATCTGTTTTTTCTCTACTCGATCCTTACAGAAACAAATATCAGTAGGACGCAATGTTCAGACGCATTTACACTCATTGGGGTTTTATTAATTCTGGGAGCAATCATACTGTTTTTGGTTGTGATGGTTTTTGATCCCAGTGCCCGACGGACTATCCTGATTGTGATATTTGTGGCGGCTGCAGTTGGGCGTAAGTGAACACTCCCATTCTTTAATAAGTGTTCCAGTATATTGAGTAGATGGTGACATGTGTTCCGTATCGTTGTGATTAAACTTTGTTTTCCTCAACGCAATTTGTCTAAAGAGGACCATAATTTTTATTGGTCTCGAATGGTTCATCTGTATCAGTTTTTGGGGCTTCAGCGACCATATTATCAAGACATATAGTGCCGATCAGCTCTGAAAAAGACAATGTTTTAGGTAAGAGAAATACAATACAAAAACGCGACCGGAACGGAAGAGTAAACGGACAACCAGATCCATGACTGAATGAGCGCTAAAGTCAGTAGACAAACGAAAAAGAAAGAGATAAATCCACAACTGGACAGAAGAATAAAAAAAGGCATGTACAAATGAACTTATCGTTGACAAGCCTGAGAGCCATCGAACAGATAAATAGTCGGATAAATAACAAAATACAAAACAACTGAGCTATGGTTCACCTAACGAATGGGTTTGTGGAAGTCTGGGGTAGCTTAAGGAAAGTGTCAGTAGACGAATTAGTGGACAAAAAATAATGAGGATTTAGATGAACAAAGTCTTGAGCAAATGGACAAAGTTTCAAAAGAACTCAGGTAAGGGACGACCAAATGCATGTCCACAATAACTACTTGATAAATTTGTTCATTGTCCGGGGATGTTATTCAATCATTTACTGACTAACTCGATGATTCAATGTCATTTGTTTACGTACCTAACAGTTAGTTTATTCATTTTTTCCCAAAAGGAGTGGATGAGTTGATTAAACAGTTGATCAAAACGCTGGTCTGTTAATCAGTGAATTGATGACAAAAATGCTGGGTATCCACGATCCAAATATCTATGCGGAAATTCCTAAATGAAGTAACCAAGAAAGTAATATGACGCTTTGGAATGATGTTTTTCCCAATGGATGGGTAAGTAGATATGCAATCGAATGATTGAACAGGAATGTAAGTGAATGAAAGAAGCAAGGCTTGAATGAACGAAGGAAGGGCTGAATGAATGGATAGATGAATCACGAAGTGAATGTACCTGAATAGTTAACAGGTGATTTATGCGGCAAAATGCAGTCTGTTTCTGAGTGAATGCAGAGGATATTGTAACTTCCTGAACAAACTTTCAACCGAAAAACATGGAAAGAAATAAGCGAATAGCGTTTGATGTTGGACGAATGGACGCAACTACAAAAGAGTGTAAACCACATATACCACGGAAGCCGACACAGTTTTGATGCTGACGACAACGTTACTTAAAACCACTACACACTTGCAAATATGTATAATTTGATACGTTGATGCATATCCATACGCAAGCTGAATTTCATTTGCAGAGTGTAATGACTTTCTATGGGCTGAGATATTTTTTGTCATTTTTCTTGCATTTTAGTACTCAGTTATATTATTGCATGCGGTTGCCTGTTTAGTGGGGCGCCAAATTACGGAGCATGGCTTTTGTCTGCCATGTGGGCGTCTGTCGCTGCGGTCGCCATTTCCATCGCGTTTTTATTCGATGACCCTTTTGAATAAATCTGTCTGTTGAACATCTTGATGCAATCCTTTGGCTACATCTGTATATTCCATACAAATGAACACGTGGTTTTTTAATGCTACCGTTGCTCCAGTTTGCTGACTGCTGACAATTCTCTCCAACTTTCTTCCGGTTTCGAATAACCGGAGAAGGGTTGACGGGGAACTAAATCACATACAAATTATTTGATTATCTGTCTTCTTCGCTTTTGATTTCAAATGATTGGCTTTATAAATTTAAAAGTTAATAGCAGCATTTTCTCTTCATTTGAAAACGGGAGTGAAACTAGTCTGTGAAAAATTTCCGTGTCAATTTTACCCAGCTAAACTTTATGGTCGTTGGCTTACTTTGGACTATGAACCCGTTTCAAGAAATTCGCCAACCTGGTGATTTGTAGACTAAAAAAAGTACATAACATAAGATAAAGATTTCTCATGGGTGGTAAAAATAATGAATAAGTCTAAGTACATTACTGCTTTTTATAAATCTCATTCCGGGGGCGTTCGGTCTTATTAAATAAACGAGAATCATTCCAACATCAACGCGAAACTTACCATTATTTTCCGACCTTATTCAGAAGAGACAAGTTATTTCCAGCTTCTGAGAGATTTGACACTGTTCAATGACTCAAAACCTTGCCAAAGAGAGCCTCATTCATAGACAGAAATGTGGGCAGTGATTTACCACTTTATGACAGCCAGGGTAATTAAAAGTTTGAAGTCCCCAATTTCCTCTCCGAAACTAAACTAAACAAAAATTTAGGTCCTTTCCTGTAATAAAAAGGACAAGGAAAACGATGTCGACAGTTGAGAAGATTTATCACATGCCTACGACCTGCGTCTTTCACAGACAGTGATGCACAAGCATATTTACGTCTCTGTAGTCTGGTAATAGGTTAATAAATGATTACTAAAAGACCTTTCCACGAACTGTGATCTACCATCATCACCTTGTTTAACGGGGGCCTGAATCGATAGAGGGTTTGGCTGGGAGAATCATATACAAATCTCACAAATGGCATAGAAATTAATCCAAACATGTACAATAAGTTAAGATGTAGATGCGGTACAACAGGCGAGCCTATCGCAGGGAACGGTCAGAGAACTACACGCAATGGGCTTATCGAAAGGAAGGAAAGAACACTTGGTAGCACATCAGATGCTTACTTTTACTCAAATGATTCATATCATTCAATTCTAGCATCATGAATTGTCTACCCGAAGACCGTATCTTGATTTGTCCTTCTCTGTGCCATGCTCGAAAAGCAGCGAACGTACAAACTGCTTCGCCTTGACAAACTCTGTTTCCTTGCTCAACCTATATAACGGAAGTTAGTGATCATTACATGAATACTTTGACGGAAACAAGTCACATCTGGCAAATCCTGTCCACAGAGAAGGGTCAAGTATCTGTTAAATAGCTTGTGCCAGCAGCATCCAACAGTATGCTGCTGTGCAAACAGGAGATCGATTTTCAGCTAGCTGAATCGGGTCAAACCATTCGGACGCATTGTGGGTATCGAGACATTAAATCTTCTGAAGTTTTCAGCAAGCCGGGAGAATATTTTAAGGCATGACTGCTGGTACTTACTTCAACGTTTTCCCCATAAAAACACGGTTTAATTGTCCTTGTCCTATAGGGCAAAACCGAACGAATACTCTACACGATTTAAGTAGACGAAGTAAGTTGACTAGCAGGAATCTTGGATTCCATTTTATAGCACAAAAAATTTTCATTATTCTACCGAACAAAAAGTGAGTGAAAATAACGCGATATTAGAAGACTTCAGAACCCAGTTTTATGCTTCTACATATTTCAGTAGTTCAACAAATTCAGATGTTCTGATGTTACGAGAAAACAACCGAACGAGGAGCTTCTTTTTGACTAGGAAATTCATACATGTGGACGGAGAGGTTTCTACTTTAAAAGAATAATAATTTCTCGTTGTGAAGGAAATTTTGGTTTCAAGTGAAATGTGCCTTCAAAAATGCATCCATACTGATGCGGACTTTGCAATCAGTGTGTTACGTTCTATCCAATTTTTTTGGGTACCATCCGGCTAAAGATGCAGTCTGACTGCTGTGACAAAATTATGCACATCTTCAAATTGAAAACCTTGAGGTCTCCAAATTATTTACCTAACCACTAGCTGTGTGGATGGAGCAAAATCTCAGCACCCTTTTGTAAAGCATATAGTTGGTTGATGTGTTCTGCATTCGGTAGAGAGGACTGACTGACTTGCGTACTTTCGTAATCACGTTTCTGTTCGTTTCTGCTCCGTTCTACAGCTCTTCTTGGAGTGTTTTAAGTTTCGTTATCTATAATGCTCGCTACCTATTTGTTTATAAGTCACTGTTATCGGTCTCTGTGATGGTACATTCTCTCCGAGTTATACTCCGCCTCGACTATAACAGGAATCATTTGTTATAGGCCTCGTCTTCCTTCTTAGGCTTACTGATGCGATCCTGTTACTTACAACGAGTTCTGCGTCTTCACTGTCTCACGAAGACTGGGTGAACTGATATTCTCAACTGTACAGAAGGGTCATTGGGCCATTTAAAATATTAAACATGCTAGAATTCTCGAAGCCTGTATGGTTTTATATCTAAGGACCGAGCCTGAAAATTCCACTGGTCCAAGATGTACGAAACATTGCACCCTAGCAATCATGTTTATAAACCGAAAGCTTACAGTAACCGTATGTCCATAAAGCAAATCGTGAAAAGAGATAAAAGCTACTCCCCACACAACCCGCTTTTGAACAAACATAATTCTCATCGGCTTTGGATAAATATCAAGCTTATTTCAAAATATTGACCAAAAAATCCATTTAGGCGTTTTTGATTGAGCACTTCAGGTTGAAAAACCTTATTACATTCATACCTTACCATGGTTTGTGTCTAAACGATAATGCGCCGTCAAGCGTCATGATTGCGAGCATGATGGTATTCTTCAGAGCTGCAAACTACGTCCAGCTTGGCATTTCTTGGAAGCAGGAACGATATTGTGTGCGGTAAAATATAGCGAGAACATGTCCCTGAAACTATGCAAGGCATTGATCTACACAACTCAATCATGTTAGAGGCTGGCAGAGATTGATTTAGTTTCTTTTGGAAATGGATTTATGTGCTGCAGATTCAAGAAGTCTATAGCTAAGACAGAGTAGACCGAGTGAATAAATATGTATATCTTGAAATACACTAAGCAATATTTGCTTCAAAATGATCAGCTAAATCTATACTGCTCCTGAATGACACGTGAAAAGTCTGTGTTGATCTTTGGGCAGGAAGACAATAAAATCTCAGGTGCTCTAAAGCACAATAGCATGATGGCATTGAGAAACCTGTGTTTATACAAACAAAGCAGCCCAAAAGATAGCATTATTTTTGGCAGACTTCTTTGTTTTTTGTGTCAGTATGCACGAAAACGTCGCCTGTTTAGGCATGTGTAAGCTTTCGATC